CATAAAGGATTTTATTTCTCCTTCACTTATGAAGCTTAGTTTGGCAGGATATGAAATTCTAGGTTCAAAGTTCTTTTCTTTAAGGATGCTGAATATTGGCTCCCGCTCTCTTCTGGCTTGTAGGCTTTCTGCTGAGAGATCTGCTGTGAGTCTGATGGGCTTCCCTTTGTGGGTAACCTGACCTTTCTTTCTGGCTGCCTTTAGCATTTTTTCCTTCATTTCAACCCTGGTGGATCTGACGATTATGTGCCTTGGGGTTGCTCTTCTTGAGGAATATTTTTGTGGTGTTCTCTGTATTTCCTGGACTTTAATGTTGGCCTGCCTTGCTATGTTGGGGAAGTTCTCTTGGATAATATCCTGACGAGTGTTTCCAGCTTGGATTCATTCCTTCCGTCACATTCAGGTACACCTATCAAACATAGATTAGGTCTTTTCACATAATCCCATATTTCTTGGAGGCTTTGTTCATTTCTTTTTACTCTTTTTTCTGTAATCTTGCTTCTTGTTTCATTTTATTCAGTTGGTCTTCAATTTCTGATATCCTTTCTTCTGCTTGGTCAATTCAGCTATTGAAACTTGTGTATGCTTTGTGAAGTGCTCGTGTTGTGTTTTTCAGGTCCATCAATTCATTTATGTTCCTCTCTAAGCTGTTTATTCTCATTAGCATTTTGTCAAACCTTTTTTCAAGGTTCTTAGTTTGTTTGCATTGGGTTAGAACATGATCTTTAGCTTAGAGAAGTTTGTTACTACCCACCTTCCGAAGCCTGTTTCTATCAATTCCTCAGACTTATTCTCCATCCAGCCTTGTTCCCTTGCTGGTGAGGAGTTGTGATCCCTTGGATGAGGAGAGGTGTTCTGGTTTTGGGTATTTTCATCCTTTTTGTGCTGGTTTCTTCCCATCTTTGTGGATTTATCTACCTGTGGTCTTTGTGGTTGGTGACTTTCAGATGGGGTCTCTGAGTGGAAGTCCTTTTTGTTGCCAATGAAGTTATTTCCTTCTGTTTCTTAGTTTTCCTTCTAACAGTCAGGCCCCTCTGCTGTAGAACTTCTGGAGGTCCACTCCAGACCCTACTTGCCTGGGGAGCACCTGCAGCTGCAGAAAAGTAAGAGTTGCTGCCAGTTTCTTTTTCTGTTATCTTTGTCCCAGGAGGATATCCACCAGATGTCAGCCTGAGCTCTCCTTTATCAGGTGTCTCTTTAATTATATGGGGTCGGGGAGCTGCTTGAGGAGACAGTCTGTCCCTTATAGGAGCTCACATGCTGAGCTATGAGCTCTGTTGTTCCATTCTGAGCTGCTGGGCTGGTATGTAAGTCTGCTGCAGCAAAACTCATAACCGCCTTTTTTCCGCAGGTGTTCTGTCCTGGGAAGGTGGGGCTTTATTTATAAGTTCCTGACATGCTGCTGCCTTTTTTCAGAGATGCCCTGCCCAGTGAGGAGGTAGCCTAGTCACAGTCTGCCAGCAGAGGCGTTGCTGAACTGCCGTGGGCTCTGCCCAGCTGCTGCGTGAACTTCTTTGCAGTTTTGTTTATAAGGGTATAGTGAGAACTGCCTTGGTAATGGCAGTCTGCCTCAGTAATGGCAGACTGTCTCTGCAATGGTGGACTGTCTCAGTAATGGCGGACTGCCTCAGTAGTGGTGAACTGCTTTGGTAATGGCAGACGTCCTTCCCCCAACAGAGCTGGACATCCCTGGTCCAGCTGTGCTTGCTGTGAAACTCTCAATTCAGAGTGTTTTAGATTGCTGGTCTTTGTGGGGGTGGGACCAGCTGAGCCAGATCACCTGGCTCCCTGTTTCAGCCCCCTTTTTCTCAGTTGAACATGTGACTCTGTCTCTCAGGTGTTCCAGTTGCCAGTTGAAATGGCGCCCGGATTTATGTGAGTTTTTGTGCTGAGACCCACTGTGCCAGCTGAAACAGCCACACTGGAGACTCGTGGCGCTTTCCACCTGGGACTCTCCTGGTCTGTGGGCAGTAAAAATTTGTTTGGAAATGTGGTGATCACTCAACCTCTGCATTTTCACTGGGAACTGAACTCCAGAGCTGTTCCTATTCAGCCATCTTGGATCCTCTCCGGAAGTGCTGCTTTGCTTCCAGGGGAAACCAATTCTGCCCTATAATCCCTATTTTATAGATAAGGAAACTGAGGAATAGATGTATTAAATTGCTTGCTAAGGTCATGTAGTTGATAAACAGCTGGGATTCAGGTCCTGGTAATCTGACTTTAGTGTCTGTGCTAAAATCTATAAAAAATATAATCACATAAGCTAATGCTTGTATATAATAGTAGTCTAATAAGTTGAAATTATTTAACAGAAAATTCCATATTGTGGCATATTTATGAGTTGGGGAGCATTAATGAGGTAATTATACTTTAGAAGTTTAAGAAGACTAGCTAACTTTAGATTTCTTAATTAGATTTTTCTGAAACACTAATCCTAAAACAGAGCTAACATGCCACATATATAATTTAAAATCTTCTAATAATCATGTTAAAAAAGTGAAAAGGAACAAATGTTAATGATTTTAATAATATATTTTCTTTAACTCAATAAATTCAAACTATTTACATGTAGCCAATATAAACATTACTCATATTATTTTTTAAAAGTTATTGTTCCAAGTCTTTGAAATCTGATGTGTATCTTGCACTTACTGCACATGTCAATTCAGTAGCTAATTCACATGTGGCTAGCAGTTAATGAATTTGACTGTACAGCTCTATATCTTTTTAGGAAAGCAAATTCATTATTTGAACCTCATTTTGAAAGTGGTGGAAATAAGAAAGGCTACTCATGGATCCACACATTAATTTCTAAGCTTTAGTACCTTCATTTTCAGTTTAACTAAACAGACTAAAAGCTGCAACTTAACCTATTCAAATGATATCCCCTGGTAAGTAAGGTGGCACATTTTAAGATGGTTTCCTGACAAGTCTTTTAATTTTCTCCAAGAGGCAGAATGGAAGCAGACCTCAAGAGAAAGCTAAACCTCTTTTGGAAAAATGAATGTCTGGAAGAATCTCTCACAGAATAAGGCAGGACCAGGTCACTAAGCAATTCTCTAAGTGTGGACACAATGTAGACTTTTCCAAGCCTTCAGCTGAGGGCAGGGATGGCCAAGTCAATGGTCCTTCCCTGTTCTGTATTCAGGTTTTGATCAGGCAGTAATGTGTAGGTCAACAAACATTTATTAAGGCTCTTTGTTTTTGATTCTTCATTGATAAATTTCTAATAAATGCTCATTTAAAAAAACCAAACAAGCCAAATAGGTGTACTAAATTGTACATTGTAATAGATAATTATCCCTTCAATTTTTATTGTACTTAACAGGTTACCACTGCTAGCAATTAGTTAGGCTGTCTTAGAGACTATCCGTATGTTTTTGTTCTATCTATCCAGAATTTTTTGGTACAGAATGGGATCACCCACACATACTGTTCTGAGCTTCCCTTTTCATTTAATAAGAAATCAATCTCGATGAATTTTATGTATTTTATTCTTATTAATGGATGCATAGTATTACATGCTATGAGTGCACCACATTATTTGACCATATCGCTATTGATGGGCATTTAAGTTGTTTCAAACATTTACTATTGCAGAACATCTGCAATGAACATCCTTTTATACCTATCATTACACATCACTGTAATTCTGTATGACAGATCTCTAGAACTGAGATAGCTGGGGGAAAGTTATGTGCATTTTGAATTTTGGCAGTTATTGCCAAATACTTTATGGCTTGCCAGAAAGACCTTGTCTTTTGACTTCATCTGGAATATTTTGACTTCATTCAGAATATTCCCATTACAAGAAAGTGGCCAGTCTCTTGGGGTGGGGGGAACACATGGTTTTCCTTTTCCACCATGAAATACATCTTATCTTTTCACTCCTTAATATACGTACCTTCAAATGGCAGTAACACTGTTCCACTTTGTGACTTCTCAACTAAGAAGTAAACCCAGAAAACATGAGCCACCCTGGATTTTATTATAAGTTATTGACATTCCTTCGGTGATTCACAAATGTCAAAAAAATAAATGTCATGTTCCCCAGGGTTTAAAGAAAGGCACTGTAGCTTTTGGATTCAGCAACAGATCTTTCAAGAAAACCGTGTGGAGTGATGACTCACTCCCCCCATGGAGGCTGCCCTCTGGCTCGTCCTTTAGGGGAAGCATGACCGAGGGTCTGCTAGTGCTTTTCTCTCCCTCTGAGAATTTCCTTAGGAGAGGAAAAAGTTAGCTTTCCTTTCTCTGCCCCTGAGTGCCCTGGCCTGCAGTACACGACCGGTCCTCGGCACAGAGTCACTCAGGGCTCATGGCAGATGCTTGGCAGTCACAGCCAGTAGCTGCGCAGTGTGGCAGCAGCTGAGATCCATGCTGCAGCCTGAAAGTTGCGTTTCAGCTGGTGAGGCTATCAAGCCCCCTGTCCCCTCTCTCCTACGGGAGCCCTCAACAAGACAGAGACCCGGTTTGGGCGGAGTGAGACCAGATCCAGCAGAGGCAAAGCGCGGTAAAGGGGCGGAGGAGCAGGAGGGGGAGAGGGAGGCGGCGGCACGGCGCCCCTTGGCAGCTCCGTGCACGCTGCGGCAGTGGCCACAGGAGCACCGAGTACCAGTTGCTCAACACTTTATCGCTCCGCATGGCTCTCTCCTCCCTTAAGTGAGTGTCCGTTTGGAGGGTACAGCTCCGCAGAAGAAAGGTGTGGCGGTGGCGGTGGAGGGTGTGCGGGGGCTGGCGGCGCGCGGGAGTTGGAACGTCCAGTGTGGGAAAGCGGAGGAGTGCCCACCGGGACGCCGACACCACTTACCCTGGGGCGCTGCCTTCCGCTCTGGCCGGGCAGAAACCGGCAGTTTGTGAGGGAGACGGAGTGTGCGCGCGTTTGTGGCGGTGGCGGCCCATCGGGGGTCCTGTTCCCTCGGAATAGACCCGGACTGCTGCGGGGAAGGGCCGGGGGGCCGCGGCGGTTGCCATGGTGACGCAGGGTCGGCGGCTACGCGCGGCGGAGACAAAGCCGCCAGCCCGCCAGCCGGCCGGCTCCTCGCGCGAGCTCCTCCTCCGCGGGCGCCTCCCTCCCTCCCAGGCGCCGCCGCAGCCGGAGCGGCTCCCGAGCCCTGAGCCGCGGCCGCCCAGGTGAGGCGAGCGCGCCCGCGGCCGGGGAGGGGTCGGTGGGGCGCCGGGGAGGGCGGGTCCGCCCGCGCGCGGTTGGGGGGCGGGGTGGGCGGTGCTTGCGCCCGGCAGCGCCCGAGTCCCAGGGGGCGCATCCGCACTGAGGAAACCGCCGGCGCCGCGGCCTCCCCCACGCAGGGGGCAGCCTCCCGCCCCGCAGTCCCGGACGGCGCCGGACCGCGCGCGCGCGCGGAGGAGAGGGGGCGGCAAACTTCGGGCGGAGCGGCGGCGCCGGGGCCCGCGCGCGGAGCCTCTCTCCGGGCACCACGGGAGCCGCCGTCCTGGCACCAAGTTGAGGGGCTGCGCGTCGGAGGCGGCTCAGGAGCCCGCGCGGCTGCACCTGCTCACAGGAGCTGTCCCTGAATTGTTTTTATTTTCCCTCCTGGCCTGCCATCGAGGCTTTTAGGGGGAAAAACAGGTATGAAAATATTTACCTTTGGACTTTCATGTTGGATGGCTTATTTTCTTGGAGGAGGGCATGGGAGGGTAGTAGGAGGAACAAACGACAGATTTTTACAAATCTCTGAAAAGTGAGCCCATTCTTTTATGGCTGTGGCTGAAGCATTTTGAGGGGGCTTCTGAAGTTCGTTTGGAGATTGAATCGAAGGACCTTTGTCTTTGGAAGGTGCAGTTGCACCTGTAACTAGATGGTGAGGGTAACCCGGTTTCCCCGGCCAGCAGGACCAGAGTTTATAGCAGGACCGATACTCCATGGCACCGATGCATTGCTTTTGTTTCTGGAAGGTATTGTGTTCATGCTGTAAGGAACTGGAAAATGCCTTGTGTTTTCGTGTGTAGGGAGGCAATCCAAGGCACCTCTGGAGGCAGGTAGCTGGGCGGTGTTTGCATCGGTGTTTATGAGTGTGATGATGAGGACCACAATGCGGTTGCCAAGGGCATTGGGGGCACTGGGTAGGGAATTGCTCGAGTTACAGGCACCCCTGCCCTTTCTCAGTGGCCCCAAGTCTTGCCATCATTTCGTGATGATTACTTTGTTGCAGACGCGAAGCACAGATTAAAATTGTGACTGTGAAGACTTATTTTTTGGTACTTAGACATCATCTTACAAGTAACATGAAAGAAAACAGTCCATTTTCAGAAATACGGTTGATCAGAAGGAAATTGTATATATGTTAAGATTTGTTTTAAATCATATTTAAACAGTATGAGATGTCATATCGATAACTGGAAAAGATCCAACGTATTAAATTGTATACCCAACTTAGTAAAATAATGTACAAATTGGAATAGGTCAGTTAAAGAACTCTATATGGAATGCAAGAAATTATATTTGCTAGAAAGTAATCAATGAAAACAAACAGTACCACTGATCATTTTAAATTGCAGTTAAGTTGATTGGAATTCCGGATATTACAGTTACTCGAGGTGTCAGGCAAAGAGTGATTATCTAATATTTCTCTTCCCTCTTTTGGGATTTCAACACCTGTTAGCCTGCTGATTATTAGGTTTCTCAGTCTGTTCATATTTGCCAGCAATTTTAAGTAATGCCACTTCATTAGAAGACTGTATTGGAAACTAAAGTATTGAAGTTGCAGTAACAGTTTGCAGGCTATTTCACAATTGGGTTTGGCTTTAAACTGAATTTTACCTGTGAAGGATTCACAGATGCTCTGCTAAATACTCGTTCATGACGGTAATGAAATGGTACATTGATTACAATGAAGTCGATCTGCTTTGAGAAGATAAATAGAAGAGAAAAATAAGTATTTTCTCACTTAAGCATGAAAAGGAAACAGGATATTGAAGTCTAGGCACATTATATAGACAGAGAATTTAGTTTCCTGTTTTGTACTATAAATAAATTATTATTTTTCTCTAAGGGACCAAAAGAACACCTTTATTCAGATCTTTGTTAGCAAAACAAGTATTCAAGTAAAAGGACTTGGTCCACGCTCTCAGCCAAGTGAAACCCACACTGTGAGTTCTAGCCTAAACATTTATGTGGTGGCCCTTTATCTTGAATGCTGAAGAATGGAGATATCCATTATGAATTCAGCACAGTAAGGACAGGTACTTTGTCTTTGCTGCTAGCTCACACAGACACAACATTCAATATGGTTTGGCTTCTTCCAAGCTGCATCATTTTCTGCCAAAAAATAAAATCAGTACACAGAAATCAACAGTCATGTATTGCATGCACTGCTCTGTTGTAGTGGTTTGTTTCTGAGAGCTCTGAAGCATGAAATGAAGCTTGTATCAGTGCAGTGGAAAACAATAATCTGGCATGTTTATATGTGTTACTAGTGTTCTGAGGTAGGTGCATAACCAGATAACGAAAGAAAAAATACTGTGATATCCTCAACATGTCCTTAGAAAATGCAAACAGAAAGTGTGCTTTCTGTCCTTTTAGCCACCTGGTGGAAGCAGGCAACAGCACTGCACATCCTCAGGGGTAAAATACTAGTCCTCACTCTTGCTGTTTCGCAGGAGTAGGAGTCTCTTTCTGCATGTCTAGCTTATGAGTTTTGATTTTATGAAGTAAAACTAGGCCTAATTTTTGGTATAAGCTGTAAAATACGGTCTGATAATCGTCACTACAGCTGTATTCTACCTGAAAGAATTCTGTAATTTCGTTTATGATTCATATCCAAAGGCATAAAAGCGAGCCACAAATACTCCTGTTTAAGTTAGAATTAACGTAATATTTGTGCCATGGAAAGTCAGTTGTTTGTAACCATGTAAGCCTGCATGGGCAGCCTAAAGCCACTGAAACCTTTATTGGCTGTTTCTGGGTCAACATTCTCTTGCAATTTCTAGTTGCACTGGGATAACATGATTACTGGTTGGTAATTTAGCATCTAGTGCAGTATGTTGTAGCATTTATAAAAGCATATTTGTGAAGGATGGTAGTTTTTAAAGGATTTCTTCATTACTGAAACACTTAGGTTTAGGTTTGTGGCTGGGGAGAATAATGTGGCCCTGAGACCTCAAGACAAAATGCTCTAAATATAAGGTATTGTTAACTGACCTGCTGTGCACAGTGGCTATTGATCAGAACTACTGTGCTGAGAAAAGGCACAGGAGACACATGGTCATCGTGATAGGATGTGGTGTTTAGTGACATGGATTTTTAATAGTGATTGATAGAAGCTGAAAAACTTTTATGGGCACGTGTTTCATTTTTCATGTTTTCAATTAAAATGGAGATAAGATGTCTTAAGCTGTTTGGTAAACGACAAGGGCTTGGGGAAAACATATACTTTTATATAGTGTTGTACATAATTCAAGTGATATAAACATAGTTCAAAGTAAACAATTGTTTTCCTTAGGTGCCAGTTGTTTGTAACAGTTATATAATATGGTTTTGCACATCAGTTATCAAATGTTTCCTTCCATATAATCCGTATTGCTTGATGAAAGTCAACGGACCTCTTATAATTGTGGACTTACTTGTTTTTCAACTATTAGCATTATTTATTTTATATGTAATTCTTTATGTATGACCCCAGATACTCTCCTTTGGTCTAGTTTTCAGCCTTCCTTTTTTCAAAAGTTACCAGTTAATTTTGTAATGTTTTTTAAAAAAGTTTTATATTTCCAGAGCTTATTTTAAAAATGATTTGGTTAACTTGTAATTTGATCAGAAAATAGTGTGCATAAAAACACATTATAATGTTTATGTTTCACATTTTGGGTATTTATAGAGATGGCTTGTTGGATAGTAGAATTTGGGATCCTGGTAGGTGATTGCTTATTTCCATACGTGGTTTGAACTCAATCCTTGTTGCTTTATCTTATACTCGGTTGAACTGAAAACCAAAGAACTAGGAAGTGGAGGCAGCAGTGAGTTTAAAGGTGTTTAAGAGATCAGTTTGTACTGACAGTCTGCTGGCATAGTGGCCAAAGGTGGTGTGGGGGTAGGGGTGCTGTGGGGATGGTTGGGAGGGCAGGGTCAGGAAGTCTGGGGCAGGAGGCTGGGAGACAGTGATGGCTCTAATAATCTCCTTAACACTTTATGGTCCAGACTCTAAAGCAAATTACCTGAGGTCTTTACGTAGTGACTATTTCTAAAGGCTGGCCAGTCCTGCAACAGAGATGCTGGTGCTGGTCTTCGTCACTTAGCTCCGTTTTTCCTCCCAATTAACTAAAAAGTGACTGTCTTGAATTGTGGTTTAAGTAAACTTTAAACATTGTAAACCACAAATTAAGGCCCAATAATAAAGTTTTTCCATATAGGTAATGTTATTTAATTGGTCAGGTACATGATTTGGATAATCAAGATGGCAATGAAGCTATAAAATGAAGCTGTGTGTTTGGCTGACATATTTGATGTGTTTGAGTGAGTTGTGTTTCTGATCAATCTGTTGTGAACCATCTTCACTCTCCTATAGCTATAGTCATTCAAGGCAGCCATGGTGTTTTACATAATTTGATCACTATGTGATGTGTCAGGCATAGTTATACTGAAGAATTGTTGTTTACTCCAATTCAACTCTTGAATTTTAAATCTACAATAAAAGGTTTCTCTGTGGTCTTCTCTGGCATTTTTTCTTCCTGTATATTGATTTCCTGAGACCTTGTTTAGTCTGATTGCAGTAATTTTCACTTCCAGCTCTTTTCTGTCAATCAAACCCTTATGAATTCTTTCCTATGGGTCAGACACTGTTCCAAGCACTTTAGAAATATCAATTCTTTTAATCCTCACAACAACTCTTCGAGGTAGGTACTATTATCCCTATTTTATGAATGAGAAAACTGATATGATCTCTTTCTGTTATGTTAACCTAAAGGTACACAAAATATGCCAGAATCCTGGCTTTATGTCAAGGAATGCAACAAACTTTATTTTCTATTTACTGGTATGTATTAAGTATAGCAATAATAACACGAATTATTATGCTTAGGCTTTCCTCCCTCATCTTATTTTCTCTGTCTTTTTACTAAAAAGTTACAAAACCTAAAGTAAAACAAGAAACATTTCTTCATAGCATAATGTGACGTGT